TTTTACCCAATGTAAAGTGTCAAATTTGAGAGATTAATGCAATTTGCTAAAGCAGAACCTAAGCCTGATGCACCCATTGCACCAATTAAAAATCCACTTTTTAAATATTGAAGAAAAAATATATCATTAAATAGTTAATTAGAAGGAAAAAATGAAGAAAAAATATGAAATAATAAGATTAATTAATTTATAATAAAGGCAAAATTTGAAAATAAAGTGATGTGCTAAATTAACAAAGAAAGAAAGAACAAAAAAAGCAAGCACAATAAAAAGAAAAAGAAAAAAGAGCTTTGTTGTTTTAAATTAGTTTTTATAATTAAAAATATCACAATCCAAAACAAATAAACTGTTTTTACCCAAGATCAAGTGTCAAATTTGAGAGATTAATGCAATTTGCTAAAGCAGAACCTAAGACTGATGCACCTTCATCACCAATTTAATTGTAACTTTTTAAATATTGAAGAAAAAATATATCATTAAATAGTTAATTAGAAGGAAAAAATGAAGAAAAAATATGAAATAATAAGATTAATTAATTAATAATAAAAGCAAAATTTGAAAATAAAATGATGAGCTAAATTAACAAAGAAAGAAAGAACAAAAAAAGCAAGCACAATAAAAAGAAAAAGAAAAAAGAGCCTTGTTGGTTTAAATTAGTTTTTATAATTAAAAATATCACAATCCAAAACAAATAAACTGTTTTTACCGAAGGTAAAGTGTCAAATTTGAGAGATTAATGCAATTTGCTAAAGCAGAACCTAAGCCTGATGCACCTTCCTTACCAATTTTATTGCCACTTTTTAAATATTGAAGAAAAAATATATCATTAAATAGTTAATTAGAAGGAAAAAATGAAGAAAAAATTTGAAATAATAAGATTAATTGATTGATAATTAAGGCAACATTTGAAAATAAAATGATGAGCTAAATTAACAAAGAAAGAAAGAACAAAAAAAGCAAGCACAATAAAAAGAAAAAGTAAAAAGAGCTTTGTTGTTTTAAATTAGTTTTTATAATTAAAAATATCACAATCCAAAACAAATAAACTGTTTTTACCCAAGCTAAAGTGTCAAATTTGAGAGATT